GCACTGAGGTTGTAAAAAGCCGCTATGTCTTTTCCACAAGGCTCAGCAAGGTTTCCAATCATCACCGTTTTAAAGGCCTCAACCAAACACATAAACAAATACTCAATCCAGCACTTGGTGAGGTTTCAGAGAGGCTGCGTCTGAACTCACCAAATTTTCCAACCTGTGCCTGCTGGCAGTGTCCCCAGAGGCCATCAGACCCTTTTTCATTGGTGCACCTCATTGTGTGACCTCCAGAAAAAGGATGGCGGAATCAGGCCCATTGCAGTGGGTAACACCATACGGCGCCTAGTCTACAAGGCGTCATAAGAAGGGTGAGTCAAGAGATGCTGCCTGCAATGCTGAAACCAACTCAGCTCGGTTTATCGGCGTTCAACAGGTCTGTGAGCAGTTGCCCACGCAGCACATCGAGTATATTATCAAAAACATGTCCCTAAGGAAAAAGCCTTGTTCCAAATTTGGACATTGCCAATGCTGTTCATCTCAGTCAGAGGGATGCTGCCTCCCAAGCAGTTTATAGAAACTTCCTTCCCTTTATCCCTTCATAGATCGTGTATAGTGTGACTTCCAAACTATTGTTTGGGGACCATGAAATTGACTCGTGTGAGGGCGTGCAACAGGGACCCTCTTAGCCCACCGTTCTATTTATTTGGTCATCAAGGAAGTCCACGAGCACTCTCCAGCGAGCTCAATAACTGTTCCTGGACGATGGTACCCTAGCTGGTACAACCCCCCAAGAATCTCTCCTAGAGGACATCAGTAAACATTAAAGAACATGGGAGAAAGCTGAGCCTTTTCTTTTAAACCCACCAAATGTGAAATATTTCTACCAATACAACAGATGAACCAGAAAATTAAGTGCCGTTTTACCAGGAGCAAGGAGCCATTGATCCCTAGCCACTAGGCACTCTCCTCGGTGGCACCCTTCTCTTGGGTCCAATGCCATCGAATCTGATCTTAGGAAAAAAAGTCTCAGACCTCCGAGATGGACAGTCAGATGAAAGACATGACACACACGATGCCTTCTACCTACTCACCAGGTATGCCTTGTCAATCCCAAAACTTACCCATTTTCTAGGATTGCTCCCCAGCCTTCCAGCAGTCCAAAACACAAGGGAATATGAATCCTGAAGGCCATGCTAGAACGGGAGTGGATTGATCTTTCCCCTGACGAAGGACAGTGGATGCAAGCCTCACTCCGGTCAGGCTAGGAAAGGCTAGGAGTACAACAGATCCTCCCAGATTGCTCTACCAGCTTCCCTCCTCTTCCATTGCATCAAACGAGTTATAAGACAAATTCTTCATGACAACCCTCAGTGACTCAGCCGGAATAGAAGACCCTAGCTATGGCCAGTGCCAACACCGAATGGGAGAATCTGCTGCTCCAGCACCAAACCCTAGAGCAAGCACTGGCTCAACAAACAGTCAAGCTTGAAATGGCCCAATTGCGAAAATGTGCTTGCCAACATGCTCAGGGCTTGGCAACATCAGAATAGGGAGATTGCCCGTCTCCAGGCTGTGAGTGCACCTCACTCTCCGGGGACATTCCTCCAAACAGTTCCCATATCGGCAATGGGAACGCGACTCGACCCTAAGACCCTACGTATTGCAGTGGCTCTGCGCCTTGCTGCCCCAATTCACACAGAATATATGTGTATTTGCGGCGAAGTGCAAGCAGACCAATATGGTCTACATGGTCTTAACTGTTCCAAAACCAAGGGCTGGCACGCAAGACACAATGAGGTCAACGACATCATTAAGAGAACCCTTGCTACAGCTGGATGCCCTGCCGAGAGGGAGCCCCAATCACTTGCAGCAAACAATACCCACAACCCAGCAAACCGCCCCGACGGGATCACCATCTATCCTTGGAAGAATGGCAAGCTCTTAGCATGGGACTATACCTGTGTGTCCACACTGGCTGACACCTATATCCGTCACAGCGTCGGGCGACAGGGAGGAGCTGCTGACCACAAGGAGGAGTACAAGATCAGCAAGTACAGGGACATTAGCCAACAGTATCAATTTGTCCCAGTGGGATCAGAGACCTTGGGATCATGGGGAAAAAAATGCCACACGTTTCCTTAAAGAATTGGGTTCCAGACTCATCGACACCACCAGGGACCCAAGGGCAGCCACTTTCATGTTCCAGCGCCTCAGCGTCGCCATCCAGAGGGGAAATGCTTGCTGCATACTTGGCTCACGTCCAGCCTCGGAGGAGCTGGAGGAAATTCATGATCTTTGATACATTGCGCCATTGTATTCATGTTTATGTTTTTTCTGTAAATGTATTTTGTTTATTAATAAAGGTAATAATATATATATATATATATATATATATATATATATATTATATATATATATATATATATATTTTATATATATTATATATATATATTATATACATCTTGTGTTCATCAGTACAGTAACCTACATTCATCTTAACTGTTATGTTCTTGGATGCTGCATCTTCAAGCAAGTTGTATTAATAAATTTCATGATTTACCATTAAGGCAAATAGCGCAACAAGTTGTTAATTAACGGGGAGGTGAGAGTTGCTGGCGGTGAGGCTTACTCTCGGGATGGTGTGGGAGGGGAAGGAGGGTAGAGGGGTGGTGGAGAACATGGTCGATGCTGGAGACACAGTTAAAGATTGATGAGTCGTGGGATGGAGGAAGAAACAGGTGGAGCCAGGTTTTAGTCAAGTCTTGTAGCAAGAGAGGAAGAACATTGTGTTAATATATTAATTTGCTACATTTGTTAGGTCTTTATAAGTCGTGGAAATGGAAAATATGTCTACTTACTGCAACAATAAATATGGTAACAAATTAGATCTTACAGTGATTGATTCATGTTTAGAGAAATACCACTCAGGTTTATACTGGTATGAATACATCAGTGAATGGTCCATAATATACTTGATATTATTTCTTCTCCAGTAATGAATGTTTTACTGAGATGTAGATGAGAAGGTCATCTCGTTGTAGTAAAATAAACCTTCAGCAGTTTATTCATTGATTCAAATATCACTGAGTAAATAGCAGTAGTGGATGATAATGTTTAACTTTTTTTTTTTTTTTGTTTTGCCGGATTCCGTGATGAATTTCATTCTCGTGTAATCATCGTTACATTGTCTTGAGCCAACACTTCAAGCTGGAGATCATCTATGTTGGTGACAGCATTGTAAAATTGGTGTCGATAGAGGTCATCTAGTAGCCTTGGGACGTCAGCGGCATTAATTTGCCTTGCCGAAACTTGTCTGGACCGATCTTTAAGATTACTGTATGTTCCTCCTCCTCCGACCTCTTAAATCATATACAGTTGGTCTTGGAACTCCAAGCTCTGGTGCAGTTTACTGCAGGTAGACACAACTTTCACCCATACCAAAAACTGTTCCCTGTTGAGCGATATTTCTGTTGCAACGTTTTATTTTTGTTCCTAGTTGCTTGAAGGTTCACGTTAGAGCTACAACATTTTGATATCCAAGGTTCAATGCTCACTTTGATTACAAACAATTTCACTCCATTTGAAGTGAAAAGATTTAATATCTGGTGTAGATATTTTTTTTTTATGTTCTCCGAGGTCTTATTATTTCTCATTAACGGAATTATTATCTTGGTGGGCCAAAGGACTTTATACAGTGCACCTCTAATTTCAAGTTAAGTTCTTAAGTTTTGTGTTCGTTGGTGCAGATAAATGAGTTATCAATGAGAGAGAGAGAGAGATTATCACAGTAAAATAAAAAAAATTTCCTAATCATCCAGCTACCAGATATAATTTTATATTCTATAGTCTTTGATTAAAGCCGTCGTTTCGTGGGGGAAATTAAACACAGTAACTGTCTACAACTATCAAAAAATACTTTCTTTTTTAAAATTCGCATTAAAGTGGCCAGTGAGGGGGGGGAAAAATTTTAAATCATCCCCCCAAGTATAAGATGGTTAACTACCTGTTTTTCATTCAGTAGTGTTATAACGGTAATATGAGGGTTCTAAGCCTACCGCCCTCTAGTTCGGGTCTGGTAAAGACTACTTGGCATCTCTTAAATTTCATAGGTACCCCTTCAGAGCCCCCTGTGGATTATAAAGCATTGTTCAGAAATCCCTATTGCACGTGTTTTTGTGCTCATTAATCTGATTGATGGGTTTCCCAAGTTTCCCCCCACCTATTATTATTACTTTGCCCACACGAAAAGCGCAAAGTTCTCATAAACACAGATGGAGAATTGAGGATTGTCTTTATAAGGTCTTCGTGAAGGTATATTTTCAGTAGTTTTTGTGTTGCTCTTAGTAAGAGCCGAATAGTGCTGAGGCCCTGTCCCAACCAGGCAACTAAGACCCTTTTTAAAATATCTCACAGTGGGAGATTCTTGGAGGGTAGTCGAGCCTCACGTCGTGGTCCAGGTTTTAAAAAGGGAAAGTGGGGGGAAGGGGAAGTTTTATAACAAACGTAACCTTCTTCCTTCGCAGGCACCGGGAAATGATCGCTTCCCCCAAAAAAGTACAAACCCACAAATAAGGATAACTTTACACACTTATTTTTTACCATGACACCGTACCAAGAAAGGATTGTTATTGACTTCTTTGAAGCTCCCACATTCCCGCCGGGGAATTTTTTGAGGAGGAATGCCCCTACGTCAGTTAAGCCTGCACTCACTTCCCCTTTCCCCCCCATCACTTTTCTGGGGTATATACACGAGGATATATATTTCTTGGGGGATATAAACTAAATGATTCACTCTTTTTAAGTATAAAAAAAATAGTTACATTTGGTGATTTTGTAAAACGCAGTCACACATCTCACAGTTATTTATAAAATTTTTGTCTCTCAGTGGGTTATAGAAAAAAACTTATTAATTTGTGTTTTTTTTTGTGTTTTTAAAAGGTTTATTAATGTATTTATTTCTATTTCTATTGTTTTATGTGAGTATATTTCATATTTTCATTAACATGTATTTTCTTTACGTGACTGCGTGTGTATTAATGATGCAATTTCTTCAGCGTGTGAGATCCAGCATTGGTCAGCCACTTCGAGCCTCGGTCACTGTGAGCCTTCTGCAGCAGGACGCTGACGAAGGTTTGTCTGACGCAGCAGCCGCAGCTCCAGCACCTGTGCTAGACACCTTCTCCGTCAGCAACACCTATGTCACCAATACAACACTGGTCTGCCTAGACAATCGTACCTGTTTCGCTAGTCCAGACCTTCATCTGGCAGCATCCTCGTGAGTGATGATGGTATTCAGCTTCCCTTGCTCTCTCTCTCTCTCTCTCTCTTTGTCTCTCTCTCTTCAGAAGTGCAGTGCAGTTCGTGCATGTCAACAGATAAGCTGATTCAAGCTCCTATGTTTACATAATGTATTTCCCATATTTACACGAATTTCCATCTATTCTTATTTAAACTAGTGTTTTCCACATGTTCCCCAATCGTTTCTCATGTTTACTCCAGTATTTCCATAAATTTCCATTCATTTCGCATGTTCCCTAATATATTTCCATGTATTTCCAATGTACTCCATATTCTCCTTCACTCTCCGGCAGACATCCATTTACACTGGGGGAGAACTCTGTGATGGTGGAGGTGCAGCTTCAGGTTCACCACGACCCCGGCTACCAGGTCACGGTGGAAGTGAGACACCCTGAAGGACTGGAGTTCCTGCGGGTGGAGGGTGAAGGAAATCTTCCTTACCACAGCGACCAGAAGCTCGTCAACCAGATCGCCAGCAGTTTCTGTGTTTTCGACTTTATTGATGCCGATGTAATAGTGAGTTGATGGTGTGAGTTTATGGTATGGCAGTGTAAGTGCATGGTGTAAGATTATAGTTATAGTTAACACCTTATGGTTAACAGCGTTGGAATGCAGCATTTTTTTTTTTTTTTTTGATAGAACGAAGGAACACGTGGAAGACTTGTCAGCTGGCCTTTCTTTCGAAGAACACAATAAGACCAAGGTTACGACAGCCAGGAAGATGACGGGATTGATAATGAGAACTTTGAACACAAGGGAAATAATGATTATGGGGACAATTTTAAAATTGCTTGTGCTCTCACACTTGGAATATTACTCAGTGTTGATGATCCCGTTGAGGCAATAAAATATCAGAGCTGGAACAGATGCAGAGATCGTTTATGGCCCATATGGAACAAATAAAACATGTAAATTACTGGGAAAGCCTTAAAGTCACTGGAGAGGAGAGACAGTAAGATACATGATTGTCAGCATAGTTGCTGATCCCTGTGTTATATAGCATAGCATATAGTATCATCCATGTGCTTTAGATAGGAGATCCCTTTTAGGCCTGTGACTTTGTGTGACGTCACGGGATGCGCATGTGTACGTTCGTACCTCTGCCTCGGTCTCAGTCGGCAGTAGATCATCCAGGCTATAACACGGCAAGGCTGGGCTCCATTTCTCATCATCTCAGTCTGACAATATATATCGTTGCCATCCAACAAGTATGTCTACCTTCAACCCCCGATATCTCCATTTAAGAACCCCTACGATATGATAACATATACCTGGAAAGTACATGAGGGCTTTTTCCCAAATATTCACACTGCCATAACAACATACTGGAGTAAGGTGCAATATAAACCCAGTGAAAAACATGGGTGCAGTGGGCACAGTAAGGGAACACCGCATAAACATCCGTGGTTACAGATTATTCAACATCTTACCAAAAGATATCAAGGAACACAACTGGATTACGTGTAGAAGTCTTCAAGAGGAAAATGGACAAGTATCTTCACTAGGTGCCAGATCAATCAGGCTGTGATGGATATGTGGATCAGCAACTCACCAGTAACAACGGCCTGGTTGACCGGGCAAGAAGCACCAGACAGCCTGGCCAAAGGCTAGACTCTGGGAGTAGAAAAAGTCTACGAACTTATCATAGGCATATCAAAGGAAGACTTAACTGAAGGTTTGAGGGCACTCGTGTAGGTCACTTTTTCCTGACATCCTACATTCACTGTTGTGTGTTGGGTAATTGTCGATGTGTCGACTTAGAAAAGAACACAAAGGCACAATATCATGACTGGACCAATATACAAATAACCCGCACATAGAGGAGAGAAGCATGTAACAACGTTGCGGTCCGACTTGTAAATAGTCCCGCCTTGTAAACGGTCCAAGTCGGACCGAAACGTCATCAGCTTCTCTTTCCTATATGCGGGTTACTTGTGTAGTGTCGACTTAGAAACATCTCTGAGCCTGTGCACGAAATATGAAGATACTGATATTGATGTTATGTTAGTGGACTTACGCTGATCTCTGGTCAAATGTGTTTTGGTAGATTTAGAGTTTTCTCAGTGTGGAGTTTAATCTTAGATATGTTTAGGTTGTGTCTTAACAACTTTTTCAGTATGTAGATCCTGTTATTACAATATTTTAAGTATGTGTTAAGCGAATAGTTTGAATATTAAGTGTCGTAAAAACAGCCTTGTGGTCAGATGATCCATCGTAGCCGAGGGGTTGACAAGTGACTATACCTTCTGCTAGATCACTCACTACTGATCTATATGTATATCTATATGTATATATATGTGTGTGTGTGTGTGTGTGTGCGTGTGTGTGTGTGTGTGTGTGTGTGTGTGTGTGTGTGTGTGTGTGTGTGTGTGTGGGTGTGTGTGTGTGTACTCACCTAATTGTGGTTGCAGGGATCGAGACTCAGCTCCTGGCTCGGCTTCTTCACTGATCGCTGCTAGGTCCTCTCTCTGCTCCCTGAGCTTTGTCATAGCTCGTCTTAAAGCTGTGTATGGTTCCTGCCTCCACTACATCACTTGCTAGACTGTTCCACTTCCTGACAACTTTATGACTGAAGCAATACTTCCTAACATCCCTCTGACTCGTCTGAGTCTTCAGCTTCCAGTTGTGACCCCTTGTTTCTGTGTCTCATCTCTGGAACATCCTGTCTCTATCCACTTTATCTATTCCACGCAGTATTTTGTATGTCGTTATCATGTCTCCTCTGACCCTCTTGTCCTCAGCGTCGTCAGGCCGATTTCCCTCAACCTTTCTTCGTAGGACATTCCCTTGAGTTCCGGAATTAATCTTGATGCAAATCTTTGCACTTTCTCTAATTTCTTGACGTGTTAGACCAGGTGTGGGTTCCAAACTGGTGCTCCATACTCCAGTATGGGCTTGACGTACACAGTGTACAGTGTCTTGAACGATTCCTTGCTAAGGTAACGGAACGCTGTTCTCAGATTTGCCAGGCGCCCGTATGCCGCAGCAGTTATCTGGTTGATTTGTGCTTCCGGAGTGAGGTTTGCAGTCTTCGGCCACCTAGCCTATACTCTGTCTGCGGTCTTCTTTGTCCTTCCCCAATCTTCATGACTTTGCATTTGGCGGGGTTGAATTCGAGAAGCCAGCTGCTGGACCATGTGTTCAGCCTATCCAGATCTCTTTGTAGTCCTGTCTGATCCCCATCTGATTTAATTCTCCTCATTAACTTCACATCATCTTCGAACAGGGACACTTTTGTGTCTATCCCTTCCATCATGTCATTCATATATACCAAAAATAGCACTGTTCCTAGGACTGACCCCTGTGGGACACCGCTCGTCACAGGCGCCCACTGTGATACTTCATCACGTACCATGACTCGTTGTTGTCTCCCTGTCAGGTATTCTCTGATCCATTGCAGTGCCCTTCCTGTTATATGCGCCTGATCCTCTAGCTTCTGCACTAATCTCATGGCCTTGCTGCAGTCCAGGAAAATGCAATCAATTCACCCCTCTCTCTCTCGTGTCTTACTTCTGTTACCTTGTCATAAAATTCCAGAAGGTTTGTGACACAGGATTTACCTTCCATGAATCAATGCTGGTTGTTGTTTATAACCTTGTTCTGTTCCAGGTGCTCCACCACTCTCCTCCTGATAATCTTCTCCATGACTTTGCATACTGTACACGTCAGTGACACTGGTCAATAGTTTAGTGCCTCGTTTCTGTCTCCTTTCTTAAAATGGGGACTACATTTGCCGTATTCCATACGTCAGGTAGTTGCCCAGTTTCAAGGGATGTGTTGAAGATTGTGATTAGTGGAACACACAGCATATCTGCTCCTTCTCTGAGGACTCACGGGGAGATGTTGTCTGGTCCCATCGCCTTTGAGGTATCAAGGTCACTTAGCAGCTTCTGCACCTCCTCCTCCATTGTGTGTATGTCATCCAACACTTGTAGGTAAATTCCTTGTCAGTGTTCCCTTCTGTGCTGGCTTCCCAGAGCCATTCCTGTCTCCTGTAAATACTTTCTTAAATCTTATGTTGAGCTCCTCGCATACCTCTTGATCGTTTCTTGTGAATTCCCCACCTTCTTTCCTCAGCCTGATTACCTACCTAGTCTTTGACTGTTGTCTTCCTCCTGATGTGGCTATAAAGCAGTTTCGGGTCAGACTTGACTTTCGATGCTATGTTGTTCTCGTACTGTCGCTGGGCCTCCCACCTTACCTGTACATACTCGTTTCTGGCTCTTCGACTAATCTTCTTATTTTCCTGTGTTCTTTGCCTTCTGTACTTTTTCCATTCTCTAATGCTCTTAGTTTTTGCCTCCCAACACCTTCAGGTAAACCAGGGGCTCGTTCTGGACTTCCCATTATTTCTGTTGCCTTTGGGAACAATCTTTTCCTCTTCCTCCTAGTATTTTGTTGTTACATATTCCATCATTTCGTTTACTAACCTTCCTACCAGTTCTCTATCCCACTGAACCTCCTGCAGAAAGTTCCTCAAACCTGTGTAGTCCCCTCTTTTATAGTCTGGCTTTTCCCATTTAACTCCTGTTACCCTCTCCCCTTGTAACTCTATGTATTCAAAGCACAGAACCACGTGATCACTAGTTCGCAGGGGCTTCTCATATGTGATGTCCTCAATGTCTGAACTGCTCACTATGAGCACAAGGACCAGCCGTGCTGGTTTATCCTCCCCTCTCTCTCTGGTAGCGTCCTTAACATGTTGATGCATGAGGTTTTCCAGTACTACATCCATCATCTTGGCTCTCCATGTTTCGGGAACCCCTTGTGGCTACAGGTTCTCTTAATCGGTGTCCCTGTAGTTGAAATAGCCCATAACCAGTAACTTTGCTCTGCTCGAGTGAGCTCTTCTTGCCACCTCAGTCAGTGTGTCCACCAATGCTCTGTTGCTCTCTTCATATTCATCTCTTGGCCACATGCAGTTCTGTGGTGGATTATACATCACTGCAATGACTACCTTATGTTCCCCAGACTGAAGTGTACCTACTATGTAGTCCATTTCTCCAATATCGTCCATGCCTCTCATTTCCTCAAATTTCCATCGCTTTTTTACGAGCAGTGCACCCCTCCTCCCCTTCTGCTCCTTTTATTTTTCCTCATGATGTGATATCCTGGTGGGAAGATTGCATCTGTTATTGTCTCAGTGAGTTTTGTTTGTGTGACTGCTATGATATCTGGGGACTTCTCATTGATTCTTTCATGCCACTCCTCATATTTATTTGTTATTCCATCTGCATTCGTTTACCAAACCTTCAACTTCTTTTTTAAAACTGTGGTCCTGGGAGAATTTTGGGGTTAGGAAAGCAAGAACCCTGGCAGGGGCCTATGGGGGGTTGCAGTGGGAGTGCAGGCAGAGTTCCCATGGGGGGTGCTGTAGGGGTGGGGTTTGTGGTGTGGAGAGGATGGGGACAGACAGATCATTGTGTGATTGTTGCTTTAGATTGTTCTGTTGCCTTCGGGTTGTCGTGGCTGGAGTTCTTCTGCGGGTGTTTCTGGGGGGGGGGGGTTTGGCCCTTCCACTTGTGTCTGGGTTATTCTGCTTTTCTTTGTCATTTCCTCCTGTTCCTCCTTTCGTTTTTGTACTTTCACTTTCAGTATCATCCTTTCCTCTTGTGTTCTGTCTCGATCAAGGTACACACTCTGGAACTCCAGTTTCTCTCTGAGTCGTGCTTTCTCCTGCAGGATCATTGTTCGAGTTGATTCTGCCTTGAAAATTACTTTTAGAGGCCGTTTCCTTCTCTTTGTGAACCACCCAATTCTCTGAAAATTTGTCACCTGGGTCATGTTGCCCTCACCCATTGCCTTCATGATACCTTCAATTGCTTTTTCTCCTCCTGTTTTCTTTCATCATATGTTTCCCCTTCAGCTTCCTGGAGCCCATAGCCAAAAACTGATCTCTCCCTTTCTTCCTCCCACTGTGTCTCCCATTGCATCCTTTGAGGTGTTTTAGTTCCTTCCCGTGGAGTGTTCCTTCAATCCCTTCTCTAGCTGAGGCCCCTATGCTCGTTGGACTGTCTTTCCTGCTCAGCTGTTCCTGCCCCCTGCAGGTGTCTGTTAGAGTCCTTGCATATATCATAACTCCTTCAATGTCTTCAAACCTCTCATTTGTTTCTAGTGTGCTCCTTGTCTTAGCCTTGGCCCCATGTGGGTCTGACAGAACCTTTGCATACAGTGCAGCTTCCTTGCTCCCTTCAGTCTCCTTGTCTGTGCCTGATGTAGAAGTTCCTGATGTTATGTCACTGTTATTTTTCTCATAGGCTGTTTCAGGTTTCTCAGTTCTTCTAAGCACTGTATCTTAGCTTCTGCTACTTTGGCTGGTTGCTCCCACTTCCTGCTCTCTGCAACTATCCTCTCCTCCATCCTCCTTCCAAACTCTTCTAGCTTCCTTCCCCAGTCTTCTTCCCTTTTTTTGAGGTCTGCCTCCAAGTCCTCGCTCCCAGATTCGTCCACCAGACCCTTGGTTCTCGGCCTTGTTCTTGGTTGACCCATTGTACGACAGAACCAAGCTTATGTGTGTGTGTGTGTGTGTGTGTGTGTGTGTGTGTGTGTGTGTGTGTGTGTGTGTGTGTGTGTGTGTGTGCTCTTAGTACAATTGTTGGTAAACACATCTTTGTACTTATTCATGTAGTGCATCTTCACAGGTGAACTTCACACTTGTCTTCGAGGTGAGAGCCGTGCAGGTGCTGGACTACCTCACTACCAACAACCTCACCTTCCTCACACTCAACCTCCACGTCACCAGTGACACAGACACAGAAAAAAATAACACACTCACAACGACCCACCGTCATCATGGCCTGTCACTACCAAGGCTCCTTACACCAAGGCGTGAGTGAGAGAGAGAGAGAGAGAGGGGGGGGTTAGAGGTAGTATGATCATAGAATTTTTAAATTAATATATAGAGAGGAAACGACAAGATATCAATAAGAAATAGAATAGCTTTTAGACAGAAAACCTTATATTCTGAAGTCATTTAGTAGTACAAAAAACTGTAAGTTAACCCCAAACATCACCAGCTCGTTCTTCGACATGACGCAGCCATCTCCTTCAGGTTTCTCTATAAAAAGCAAACTGTAATGGTGATGGAAACGCCTCCATCGACACTGCAGAAGCATGAATGGATTCCCACAGCTCCTTCTCGGTGGACAAACTTGGTCCTCACCTCCTCCATAGTTCTCTGTCACGAACCGGGCCTATCCGTCAAGGGGCAAGGTAAGTCAGACCAGCTGTGTCCTATTGGGGGAGACCAGGTTATCGAAGCACTTAAAGTGTTAAATTGGAAATAGACTCCAAATAGGTGGAGAGTCATGTCCGCAGATCCATTCGTTATAAACAGAGTCAACTGAGGGTTTCTAGAAAATTCCTCAAGCTATAAGAACATAAGAACATAAGAATGGAGGAAACACTGCAGAAGGCCTACTGGCCATGCAAGGCAGTTCCTTTCAAAATGATCACCTTAAGCTACCAAGAAATAACTCCCTACCCAATGACACCAAACAAAGACCAGCCCCCTCCAACTTATAATGTCCGAGAGTCTCTTCTTAAAAGCTACCCTAGGCCTAGCCATCTACAACCCAACTGGGAAGACCTGTTCCCACACATCTACAACTCTGTTAGCAAACCAGTTATTTTACCTAGTCCTTTCTAAATCTAAATTTATCGCAATCTTAACCCATTATTTCTGGTTCGACACCCTCAGTACTGATTAATATCTCCCTTGTTGCCCGTCACCGACTTAACACTTCAATGATATCCCCCATTCTAAGCCTCTCCAGAGGTGGAGATTAAGCTTAAGTCTATCTTCATACGGGTGGTTCCCGTACCACAGTAATCATTTAGTCATTCTCTCTGTAATTTTTAATGAGTAATCCATCGTGTAAGGGAACCAAAACTGAGTTATATTTGTACCAAAATTTTTATGTTTACCCAAGTAATAGCTTTTATATCCTTTAATCATGTACGAATAATGCTCAACCATATTGTATTACTTTTGTCACTACCACTACTACTACTACTCTACACACTATTGGACATCGAATTGGTACCTTCATAATATCACCTCACTTGAGCCTTTATATACCCCTGTGCCATGTATTGTTTGTAATGGCTTGATAACTCCAAGCGAACGTTGCCACAATAAATGTCACATTAGTTGCTACTTGTGTCTTTTACTTTACAGCATAATCTAATGAGCCTCACAGTGATGATAGAGCTGTAAAAAAACTTTGGACAAAAATTTTTCTTGTACTTCTTGGATAAATCCAAGTAATCTTTGCCTTATTCACACATTAAGGCACGCTGTCTTGGCTTTAGATTTTGCTTACCATGATCCCAAGTCTTTTTAACTTCTGTATGATCAAGCTCTACTGCACTTAGATTATAGCTTCGAGGGTTCTTTTCATTACCAAGGGCAAGTACCTTACATATCCACATTGAACTTATCTTCCATTTTTCTGAACCAAGACATTAATTTGTCCAAATCGTCCTGGAGTGTTCATTGATATCCTCCTCAGAGTGAATTATCCGGCCTATCTTTGGTATCTCAGCAACTTACTCCTGTCACTCGTAATCCCTTCATCGAGGTATTAAGTAAATATGAACAAGAGAGGGCCTCTAAAACGAAATCCTTGTGGAGGCCAAATAGTGACTAATCCCCCATTCAGATTTCACTCCATTAATGGTACTCTCTGTTTCTGTTGGTAAGCCATTCTCTATCCATGCTATAACTTTACCTCCTATCATGAGCTGCCACTTTTCTTAAGAGTCTTTGTGAGGGTACTCTATTCGAAGGTTTACTAAAATCCAAATAAACAATATCGTATTCCTTATCACTGTCAACTGCCTCAAATGTTCTATTGAAGAACGTCAGTAAGTTTGTCAGGCAGGAACGACCTCTCGTGAATCCATGCTGAGATTCATTTATCAAGTTATGCTCTTCAAGGTGACTTCTGATAATGTCAGCTATAATTGATTCTAATAACTTGCCCACTATAGATGTCAGGCTTCTTGGACGGTAATTTGAAGGAGTTGATGTATCCCCTGATAAATTTGGGATCCCAGTAAAGAAAATAAGATTTTATCGGTGAACCACCAGTGTAGTGGAGTGAACGAGGCAATAGTAAAATAAGATAAAAAAAGAATACATGGGAAAGTAATTACCTCTACCACCCGAGTAGAAAGATGTTTAAGAAAGACCACCAGTACCTGGGAATCTCCCACTAACACAGATGGTTACTGCAAAACATACTTTTGAAATATCTTGGAGAGATCATGTTGGTCATCTATAGCCATTGTTAACAGAGCTCAAGACAACATTTCCTGGATTTTTGGCATATAGCGATCTATCAGGCCATCGAGTTTTCTTGGTAATTGTTTTTTTTAAGCTCCGGCGACTCCCTACCAAGGTACAGCGACACGACAAACAAGAAGAAAATTACTTTACTGCATCAGTAACTTTCTTGTCAGAGTACGTTGACTTGGTGATTACTGAATACAATTACAAAATATTTTTTTCAGTATCTTACCCGTTTTCTGGGGTATTGGATCATTCCCTTGAACAAGTGATAATCCCTTAAACAATGATGATGATGAATAAATAGATCTGCTGCAGTGTTCCTGCGTTCTTATGTTCTTATAAGTACTCTCACACAAATGCATATTTTATACGATCCTCCAAGCTCCATGTACACAGTAAACTTCTACCGGTTACATATACAAAGATTCCTCCCTAAATATTTCCTTAGACATTCATATTACACTCGAAAAATATTCAAATATTTTCCCACAAAATTACTACCTGGTCAGAGCATGAAGACCGTAGCCAGGACCCGTCCTGTACCTGTACTTGAACATATACGTGTACCTGTGCGTGTACCTGTACCTGTACCTGTACCTGTACGTGTACCTGTGCGTATACCTGTACCTGTACGTGTACCTGTACCTGTACCTGTACGTGTACCTGTATGCAAACTGATTTAAAAGAATGGTACCATAACTGGTGCAATATTCAGTGCCTAGATACAATACACCCAAACATTTGGGAAAACGGCCTTAGAAAATTTATTTCATCTATATAATTACACACTAGTATCTCAATAATCGTAACAGACAGAGCTTGCTGCCTGTAGTAGAATGACATAAGCTAAATTATTTTTGTTAAACACAGATGGGTATTCAGTGCAAAGAGTGGTTGGTGCTCAGTCCTCTATCCCTATTCCAGGCTGGACTGTCTGCAGTGGTGGGACTGTTTGCACATGTATTTGGCTGGTCCAAGGTGTAAAGAGACAGTCATGAAGGGACAGGGAAAAGGAATACCTCGTTAGAGACCTTGTCACTCTAGGGCGGAGTTCTTGATTTGATGTGATGTGCTTTAGTGATGGAATTGGATTATACTCTCTTCCTGGAATGAATCCGTTTCCTCATTTCCCAGGCGCTGGTTTGTTTCCTGTAGACTTTTTAGTAAGGACATATGCAACAGTTAGGTATCTATATTGAAACGTTCGCTACACTGTAGGTTCTTCAGTCGAGTACAGAAAAGTTGTTAGAAGGCAGACGTGTCTTGAGACGATGTACTCAGTCCATCACCCTTAAGTTTTGAGATGATCGTCCCTCAGTTGGAGAAGCGGTACGTACCATAGTCTGAAAACAATATGGAGTTGAAGTGATAGGATGGAGCCTTATATATGGCCAGAGGTCAGACGTAGACACTGCAACACCCTTGTGTTGCAGTGTCTGTCAGACACTGCAACACAAGGGTGTCTTGGTACAGACTTGAAATCAACTTCGACAACCTCTTCTAGTGAGAATGGCTGGATTTGAGAGGGACCTGTCCTCTCAACGTTTACATTCTTACCTCTACTAGTGACCTACGTCTCACCTCCTGGCGCTATATAAGACTCCATCCTATCACTTCAACTCCATATTGTTTCAGACCATGGAACGGTACTCTTCTCCAGACTGAGGGACTGACCACCTCAAAACTTCAAGGGTGATGGACTGATTACATCGTCTTCAAGTCTCTTCTACTTCTATCAACTTTTCTGTACTCGACTGAAGAAGCCTACTGTGTAGGCGAAACGTTTCGAAATAAAGTTACCTAGCTGTTGCATATGTGTCTTACCTAACAACCTGTCGGTATTTTATACCATTTTATTGTTCATTCCCGTAGACTTACCGATTCTCTATTATAAAAAGCTAATAATACTACTAACAACTATAATAATAATAATAATAATAATAATAATAATAATAATAATAATAATAATAATAATAATAATAATAATAAATAGGAGAGCCAGAGGATAAGGACTAGCCCATGAACGACAAGGTACACTAAGCGAGGTTTAATCATGAAAGAAAAATGGATTGGATTCAGAATGGTAACTGAGAGATATAAATTCTGTCTTGGCTACAGCTAAGGTTCCAGCTGCCACTGTACCGGAGTGACCACCTACTCACCTACTATATGGGTCAACCTGCCACCACACCTCACGTCACCTGTACAACCATCACAACCAACCCTTATAACCTGCAGGTACTGAACAATCTCTTTCATATATGTGACATTTTTGTTATTAATAATTAGAAAATTATTATTATGAATATTATTATTATATTATTATTATTATTATTATTATTTATTATTGTTATTATTATTATTAATATTATTATTATTATTATAATTATTATTATTATTATTATTATTAATTATTATTATTATTATTATTATTATTATTAATTATCATCTTTCTTTTTGGTAGTGATGGTAGTAGAGATAGTAGCAATAATAGTAGTAGTAGTGGTAGTGGTAAGAGCAGGTGTAGAAGCATCAGTAGTAATAATAGTAGCAATAGTAGTAGTAGTAGTGGGGGTAAGAGTAGTTATAGTAGCATTAGTAGTAATAGTAGTAGTAATAATAACAGTACTAGTAGTTATAGTGGTAGCAGCAGTAACAGCAGTAGTAGTAAAATTAATAGTAGTAGTATTTGTAGTATTATTATAATTATTAATTAATTTAAATAAATGCTACGGCTATTATTGCTTTTAAAACTACTAATATTGCTGCTGCTGCTATTGTTACTATTGCTGCTTCTCTTCTTACGACGTTCTTCACCACTATTGTTACTAATACCGCTATTACTATCACATTTATGGTTGCCACTTTTATTATTATTAGTCTTATTGCTACTTTTACTACTATCACGACTATTTCTTCTCTGTTCTTGCTATTAATATCACTTTTATTTACGTTGTAATGCTATGCTATTAATGACACTATTACATATGTTGTAATTACTTATACTTCAACAATTTTTTATTTTCATTACTATTTTTGCTTCTGACACCATTGTTAACATTACTCTTTCTTCTATATCTACAGTTTTTGTTTCTACTACTACTGCTTCTACTACTACTGCTTCTACTACTACTGCTTCTACTACTACTGCTTCTACTACTACTGCTACTACTACTACTGCTACTACTACTACGGCTTCTACTACTCACTGATTCTACTACTATGCTTCTTACTACTACTGCTTCTACTACTACTGAACTACTATTACGGCTTCTACTTACTACTGCTTCTACTACTACTGTTACTATACTACTGCTTCTACTACTATGCTACTACTACTACGGCTAATTACTATACTGCTTCTACTACTACGCTTCTACTACTACTGTATACTATACTGCTTCTACTACTACTGTGCTTCTATACTAATGCTCACTACTATGCTGATTCTACTTATACTGCTACTACTACTATGTTCTAAGTAAACATACTGCTTCTATACTACTGCTACTATACTACTGCTTCTACTACTTACTGCTACTATACTACTGCTACTACACTACTGCTTCTACTACTATGCTTCTACAACTACTGCTTCTTATACTATGTACTACTACTATGCTTCTACTACTATGCTTTACTACTATGCTATACTACTATGCTTTACTACTACTGCTACTACTACTATGATTTACTACTACTGCTTTACTACTACTGTACTACTACTACTGCTTCTACTATATGCTATATATACTGCTTCTACTTACTACTGTTTACTACTATGCTTTACTACTACTGCTTTCCTCTATGCTTCTACTACTAACTGTATACTACTATGCTTATACTACTATGCTTTACTACTATGTACTATTACTGCTTCTATACTATGCTACTACTACTCTGCTTCTATTCTACTGTTCTATACTACTGCTACTACTACTATGCCTTATATATACTTACTGCTTACTACTACTATGTACTACTACTACTGTTCTACTACTATGCTTCTACTATACTGTACTACTACTACTGCTTCTACTATACTGCTTTACTCTACTGCTATACTACTACTGACTTCTACTTATATGCTTCTATACTTTACTGCTTTCTACTACTACTGCTTCTACTATACTGCTTCTATTACTACTGCTTCTACTACTACTGCTTCTATTACTATGTTTACTACTACTGCTACTACTACAACTGCTTCTATACTACTGCTTTATACTATGCTACTACTACTACAGCTTTATACTATGCTTCTGTTATACTGCTACTACTACTACTGCTTCTACTTACTAAGCTTCTACTATACTGTTCTACTACTATGCTTCTCTACTACTGCTACTAATACTACTGCTTCTATACTACTGCTTCTACTACTCTGTATCCTTACTGCTTATATACTACTGCTTCTACTTACTACTGCTTCTAACTACTACTGCTTCTATACTACTGTTCTACTACTACTGCTACTATACTACTGTTCTACTACTACTGCTTTACTATACTGCTCTACTACTACTGCTTCTACTACTACTGTTCTACTACTATGCTTCTACTACTACTGCTACTACTACTACTGCTTCTACTACTAATGCTTCTACTATACTGCTTACTACTACTGCTACTATACTATGCTTTCTTATATACTGCTAATACTACTATGCTTATTACTTACTATGCTGTATACTATGCATTCTACTACTACTGCTACTACTCCTACTGCTTCTACTACTAATTGCTTTACGACTACTGCTTTCTATATACTGATATCCTACCTACTGCTTCTACTACTACTGCTTTTTACTACTACTGCTTCTATATACTGTAATACTATATGCTTCTACCTACTGCTTCTACTATACTGCTTTATTATATGCTACTACTACACTGCTTCTATACTATGCTTTATCTATAGCTTCTACTATACGCTATCTACTACTGCTTCTACTACGACTGCTTTTACTACTTATGATTTTACTACTAATGACAACTACTTCGCTTTCATATACTATACTGCTTTCTATTACTACCTGCTTCTACTACTACTGCTTGCTTTACTACTACTGTTCTACTACTATGCTTCTCTTACTACTGGTTCTACTACTACTGCTATCTACCACTGCTTCTTCTACTTCTGCTTCTACTGCTACTGCTTCTATACTATGCTTCTACTACTATGCTATATATACTGCTTCTACTACTACTGGTTCTACTATACTGCTTTATACTACTGCTTTACTTACTATGCTACTACTCCTACTGCCTTCTACTACTACTGCTTCTACTACTACTTGCTATTCACTACTACTGCTTTATACTACTGCTTCTACTACTACTGCTTCTAATATACTGCTTCTACTACTATGAATCGATACTACTGCTTCTATTACTACTACTGCTTCTAAAACTATGCTTCTAATATATGCTTCTACTACTACTGAATTACTACTACTAGTACTACTGCTTCTACTACTACGGCTTCTATACTAACTGCTTCTACTACTACTGATCTACTACTACTGTACTTTACTACTACTGCTCATCATCAATTACTGCTTCTACTACTACAGTTCTACTACTATGCTTCTATATATTGACTAAAAATATTTACTGCTTACGACTATATGTTACTACTACTATGCTTCTACTACTACTGCTTTCTTCTACTACTGCTATCAATACTACTGTACTATACTAGCTTCTACTACTACTCTACTACAACTACTTTCTATACTAATGCTACTACTACTTCACTGTTCTACTACTACTGCTACTACTACTTACTGCTTCTACTACTATTGATACTACTACTACTGCTTCTATATACTGCTACTACTACTACTGTACTATATACTGCTTCTACTATACAGCTTCTACTACTATGCTTTACACTACTGCTTCTACTTACTATGCTACTACTACTATGCTTATACTACTACTGCTTCTACTACTGCTGCTACTACTACTACTGCTTCTACTACTACGCTTCTACTCATATGCCTTCTACTACTATGCTTCAACTTACTACTGTACTACTACTACTACTGCTACTACTATACCTGCTTCTATACTTACTGCTACTATACTATGCTTCTACTACTACTGCTTCTACTACTACTGCATTACTACTACTGTTTACTATCTACTGCTATATACTACTGCTTCTACTACTAATGCTTCTACTACTACTGTACTACTACTACTGCTTCTACTACTACTGCTTCTACTACTACTGCTTCTACTACTACTGCTACTACTACTACTGCTTCTACTACTACTGCTTCTACTACTACTGCTACTACTACTACTGCTTCTACTACTACTGCTTCTACTACTACTGCTTCTACTACTACTGCTTCTACTTACTGCTTCTACTACTACAGCTTCTACTATAATGCTTCCTACTACTACTGCTACTATACTAATGGTATACTACTACTGCATCTACTACTACTGCTTATACTACTGCTACTACTACTACTGCTTCTACTACTACTGCTTCTACTACTACTGCTTCTACTACTACTGCTACTACTACTACTGCTTCTACTACTACTGCATCTACTATACTGTATTATACTACTGCTTCTACTACTATGCTGCTACTACTACTGCTTCTACTACTATGTTTACTACTACTGCTACTACTACTACTGCTTCTACTACTGACTGCTTTTACTACACGTTCTACTACTAACTGCTTCTATACTACTGCTTCTACTACTACTGCTTCTTACTACTACTGTTCTACTACTACTGCTTCTACTATACTGCTACTATACTACTGCTATACTACTACTGCTTCTACTATACGGTTCTATCTAATACTGCTTCTACCTACTACTGCCCCCCCGCTTCTTACTACTATGTTATACTACTGCTTTCTATACACTGGCTTTACTACTTATGCTTCTACTACTACTGCGTCTACTATACTGCTACTTACTACTACGGCTTTACTACTACTGCTTCTACTACTGCTGCTACTATATACTGGCTACTATACCATGATTCTACTACTTTACTGCTTCTACTACTACTGCTACTACTACTAATGCTGTCTACTACTATGTACTACTACTACTGCTTCTCTACTACTGCTTCTACTACTACTGCTTTACTGACTTACTGCTTTCTACTACTACTGTTTACTTACTAGGCTTCTATATCTGCTACTACTATACTACAGTTTAGCTATACTACTAACTGCTTTATACTACTTGCTACTACTA